CCATTTGTTTGGCATTTGACGTAGATTCGTCAAATTGGCCAGAGTAACTTCAGACTCAGTCTTGTAAAACTGAGCGTGGAATAATTACTCCAATTGTTGCCATGTTTGAACAGAGTTTGCTGGCAAATTGATGAACCAGGAGAAGGCTACTCTTGTTAATGAACTAGGAAATAACCTCATTTTTATGGTAATCAGTTACGTCACCACTTTGCAGTGTGAATCGCCCTATGTGCTCTAGAGTAGGCACCTCTCCTAAACCGGTAAACAGTGAGAATTCTGGCACTTTATATCCTCTAGGCACGGATATGCTTGGTCTAATGATAGGACGTACTCCGAAAGCCATCTGGTCCTGTACGATTTCCATAATCTAATTCCTCAACATGACGTTGAGGTCATATGGAATCCCTACAGGTTGGTTGATCGATTGATTTGCTTAAGGCCTGATGTTTGATCCTTGATTGGGAACAAAGTTACCATGATTTGGGCCATTGTTACCATTAGCCTGAACATTCATTCCCTCATTGATATTCTGCCCATTATTTAGGACATTACCTCTTACATTTGGATTACCTCCCAAGTTAGATGTACCAATGCCACTATTCTGATTTGGTATTGCACCACCCCCCTGGTTTGAAGTAGAGGGATCAAAAGGTGGTTCTATCCCTTGATTTAAACTTAGGACTGGGGGATTATGTCCCACAATTATCCTAGTTTGAAAGTGGTTTGTAAGAGGCACAACTGGCTGACAAATTTGGCCCACCAACTTATTCATTATTTCGTTCAAAGTATTCAGTTTTTTGGCCATGTTGTCATAATATACATTCCCATCCTGGGTAAATCTTTCCATATTATAAATACTTCGTAGATTTACCTGTTTAACGACATCTTGTGTGAGTTCTCCGAGTAATGCACACATGGTTCGAGGACTCAACTCTGTCATTAGTTCGTAGCGACTGTAATTGCTCTGATCCTGTCCATCTGTTCGTGGAGAGCTATGCTGCTCCTCATATCGCTCGATCACAGACTGGACTCCTCCCTGGCTTGCTGTTTCCTTATCGAGTTTCTGAGGCATATTATTTTACCTTTTGTATCTTCAACACCAAACACCAATGTCCCACTAGGCGTGCCAAATTGTTTCGCGCGGGTAGTCGCTAACAATTAAAAATGGATCAGACGATTTGTGTAAAGGACAAACCTCTTGAGACAAAGTCCCAAAAAGGGGTGTTTTATTGGCAATGACTTTACAATTGGAACTTAAACAGAAATGCCTCCAAAGGGCGCAAGCACACGAGTATTGAAAAGAAATGTTTTAAGTCTAAACTAAGAAATTGAAATTACATATTCTCTATTTGAGAGTGTTTGATTCGGGGTCCTTTGCTCTATGTCTTTTCTTCCTTTTATATTCCTTTGATACTCTTTTTGTGATCAACCGCTTAATTGTTTTATAACTGCCCACTTTCTCCATGGTGGCCAACTTATCGTGGAACTGCCGTCTCCAACTGCTGCCATTACCCTTTGTTGTTCAACCGTCCTCAACTGAACATCTTGAATCGCGAAACGTGATAAAATTACCCAATAACTATCGCGGAATGTGATAAAATTACCCAATAACTACTTCGATAATTGTACTTTTGGATAACCATAATATATTATGTTTGCTAAGATCTTGGGCGATTCGAAAGTTTGGGTGAGAATAGGGTCATAACTCTGGACGACTGCAAGACACTTCATTCGCTCAGATCCTGGGCGTCTTGTAAGTTTGGGCGATGGTGTTACTGTGTTCGTGGGTTTCCACTGCATTCATTAATAACCCTATTTGAGCCTTTATCCTGAATTGCCCAGTTGTGCTTCATTCTTTGAACTATTTGAATTGGGCTGCACTTTTTGCATGTCAACAATTTACCTTTGTCGAACAATTCTCATTGGAAAATTCTCATATGTTTCTTGAATGAGGTGCATGCATAACAAGTCTAGAGTGATATTTTAAAGTTTTTTATTGACATATAGATTACGCGTGCATTTTTACAATTGACACTTCATAATTTTATAAAAAATCGTTTGAAACGAATTGGTTTTTAAAACACATGTTTTAAGATTGAAATTTGACATTAGATGAAACTTTTTTAACAAATTCAAATTATGGCAACTTTTCAATAGTTTTGGATCGTCCATTTTATAGAAGTGTTTTTTTAGCAGGCCTTGACTATTTCACACACAATTCAATCTAACATGACCAATCAACTTTTCCAATTCGATTCAATTATGTCACGGAAAAATTACCCAAAACCATGCTTTTAAAATTTGACTATCATAAATCAAACCATTAAGGTTTTTTTGTTTTTTGTTTTTTTTTTTCAAAATTCAAGTATTAACTATGCTTTAAAAATATAAAAAAAAAATATTTTTAAATAAAATAACTATTATCTATAACAGATCTCAAAATTAATCAAAGAGAGAAAATTGTTTCCATTTCGCCATCTCCTCCCTCAAGGAAAAAACAACCTCGTTGTCATCTCCACACATTATTCAGTCATTGAACCGCCTGCACAGTGTCACATTCGTCAGGCCCATCTCTTTTTATTTTATAGTATGTCAGCTATATTTCTTGGCTCAACTAAACCTAGCATTATTTCTGTCAGTTTGCAAATCTCAATAAGGTTTCTGAGGTAACAATAGATTTTTCAAGATGCAAAGTGAATGTTATAGTTGATATTCTGTTCGGGAGTTTAATTTCGCCTGCAGAGTATATGAACAGTTCCCACCCCATGTTAAGTTCATTGAACGATTTTTTTGTTCAATTATGAGATCTGATGTTTACTTGATGCTTGTTATTGCGAATCTACATTATTTTTAAAATTACTTTATATCTTTCAGATGTCTTTTATCGAATTGCTGGAAATTAAAAGGTAAAATGCGTATATATAAGTGATATATTGGTCCTATATATTTGCCAATTCGTATTCAAATATATGAAAGAAGTTTCCTTTGTGTTTGTATTTACCTTCAATAAATTCTTAATCAATTTTCATTTACTCCTTTTGTGCTTAATAATTTGAAAAAGTTAGTTTATCCAATGTCCTTAATATTTATTGGTTGAGCGACCTAAGAGTTACCTTTGGAAATCATCTCTTTCCCAAATTGTCAATCCCAATTCACTGAAAACTCTCTGTATCTTTACTCTTCTTCGATTTTGTGAGCTAATTTGGGTAATGTTTGACCTAGTTTTGAGTAATTTGTAACATGATTTGGGTATTATGTGGCCGGAATACCATTTTCTGACCTAAATATAGTTTTGTGATTTGTGCTGGATATTTTGTAATCTGAATAGTTTTTGTGACATATTCTGGATACTATATAACCAAATACTTTCTTTGTGACTGAATATGATTTCATTACCTGTGTTGGATATTCTGTGACCTAAATAGATTTCTGTGACTAAATACTATTTTCTGACCTTATTTGGATGGTTTGTGACCTATTTCATAATCCTCAAAAACATGACATGATTTTTTGCTACAATGTTGCAAGTGTTAACTATAAGACATAATGTATGATTTATCCACCAAATGTTATGTTTATATTTGTTTATCATGGTCACAGTGACAAAAAGAACAAGTCACAATCACGCGCTTGTGTATGTGTTGAATGTCATAGTCACATGTCTGACATTTTGATTGGTGCAGAATTGGAAATATTTAATAAAGCTTAGCAAATGATTCCCTGACAAGATTACAATAAACTTAATACGGAGTGTCGTCACGAACTTCATGATGAAATTCAATGCTGCTCAAAGAGAGATGTCTGTTCGAAAATAGACAAATTGATGTTGCTTTTATGATGGATTAGGCAGATATTATTTTTACATTTGTAATTTGATTTGGTTGTAAATATGGATGATTGTTTTTCAACTTATTAGTTTAATGAATGATTATTTTTATTACGGACATGTAAATGAGAATCTGTTTATGGTGTTAGTTATATCTTCGAAATAATGATTTTTATGGAGGAAAAGTCATGTCGGGTAATAGTCACATAAAAGGTCACAAATCTTTAACGGGTCATATATAGATTTAGTCACAATCAATCATGACTCATGCATATCTGGTCACAGATAATTAAAGTTACCGCATAAAAGGACACAAATTATCACAAAGACTAATAACTTGTCACGGATAAAAAAAAAAATTGTTCACATATTTACACAAGTCATTGTTAAGAGCAAGGCACTGTTGTATATATTCATAGTTAAGAAACGGATCATAGAGAATTAGGGTCCATTTGATAGCATTAAATTTCATGAAAAATGTCACATTCGAGAAATTCGTTTTCTACATTGGCTATTTGATACAAAAGTAAAATAGAGTTCAAATTTCAAGGTAAAAACACTTAAAGCATGTTTTTGGCCAATTAACTGGAAATCAAACTCCTATGGTTTTGGTGGTTTGTTTGTTTTTTTTTTTTTTTTTCCAACTTACATGAAATTGGAAAAATAGAGTAATATACTAAATGTTCACACACTTGAAGAAAGAAGTCACACATACATCAGTATAAACCATAGAATTTTACATCCAATGTAGATAAATTTACATACAGTCAACACAAGTATGGTCGCAGAGAGTCACATTTAATGTAATGAAATTGGTCACAAATTTGCTTTGATTTCACATACTGACTGGTCATGGTATTTAACACACATGCCACAACCCATTCTATTCAGTAGTCTTAAATAGTTGCAATTAACAGATACATGTGTCAATGTGAATGAAGCACAGCTATAGTCATATTAATAGTAAACAATATGGTCACAAACGATTTTTTGTCTGTGTATAGAAGTGTAATTTTAGATCAGCATGTTCAAAATTTTGAAATTAGAAAATTGACGTCACAAATTAGGGAAAATGCACACTTATTTTCACAAAGCAAACTCACTTATCACAAATAATCATTTTCCCTCAAGCTGTAGCTTCTCTCTTTACGAAGTGAAGACTCCAAGTCAATAGGAAATACCACCAGTTCTTTCCGCGTCAAATCCCACTCCACGGTATCTTTCTGTACGTATATATGTATCTTATAGCAGAGAAGATAAGACAGAAAACGTTGCTTCCCGCGTAACCCATCTGCAATCTGAATTAAATGAATGCGTGCAAGCTATTTGTTCATAATCTAAAACCACGACCGCCACAATTTCTTGGGGTGCTTAACGGTTTCAATTGACTTTAAGCTTCTTCTTTCCTTATCAGCCTCAATCTTTGTCTTTGTCCCATTACATTTTGTCCTTTATAAATACACAATCATTTTTTCCTTTTATAAACTAGTAACTACTTCAAATGCTCTTTAATTTATCCAATAAAATCTCTCCTTTTCTGTCTTGGAATACTGTTTGTTTCTGATCTTTTTCAATCAAGAGTTTAGTACTCCAGTCATTTTCTATCAGGTATCGCTTTCTATCTCTGTCTGGATTTGAAGTTTCTATTTTTAGTTCTCGTTGGGATTCGGTTATTTCTTGCTGATTAGCTATATTTTGTTATTTGGGAACAGGAATGTGCACTTCTAAGATAACAAGATTGTTCAATAAATTGATCTTTCTTTGTATTTCATCTGTAATTTATGTAATCCAAACCTTAACCTAGAAATTTAAAGCTGGGTTTCTCAATTTTTTCTGGGGAACTTAGATCATGAGAAAATTGATTTGTGTTTGTATTAATTTCATCTGTAATTTATGTAATGCGATCTTATAAATTTAATGTAGGATTTCTCTCGAAATGACAGTATTTGCTTTCAGAAAATCCTATTAATCTAATAACGAGCTACAACTTTTTTAGAAGAATGAATTTCAAAAGTTTTCAACTGTATTGCCAGTTTACATTGATTGGGGCACGAAATCGAAGATTTAGGGAGAAATTTTAGTGATTTGGAGAGATTTTGGAAATTCAGAGTTCAGAGAGAGAAAGTCGGTGTTTGATTGTGTGAGAGAGAGTGATAAATATCTTTTATAAATGGAATATTTTTTTATTTTTTAGGATCTATTTTAAACTTTATTTTATCATAATTTAGATTATATTATATTTATCACTTGATTTTTGAAACTATTACATAAGATTGTTAGTTATGAAATGTAATTCTTATATAATTTAAGAGTGCGTTTGATTGTCAATAATTTTCCTGAAAAATGTGTTTTTTCCACTCAAATTCTTACTTTGTGTTGTTTGACTGACATTTTTTCCATAAAAAACATTTTCCTACTTTATATTATATGATCATATTTTCTTTAAAATCAAGGAAAATATATTCTTTAGGGGAAATATGTTTTTTTTTTCCAGAGAATTCACACACACACACACACTCTCTCTCTCTCTCTCTCTTATTTACCCACCAATAAAAGCCAGACACGTATAATATTTTGTAAATTGAAAATTAAATCAATCAAACATATATAATTAACAATTTTCGTGCAAATAAGTTCTAGGCAAATGAATTACCTAAAATTTATTTTCTTTTCATACAAATTTCATGTTTGCAATCAAATGCACCCTAATAGTTGTATATTTTTCCTTTCTATCACTCTAACAATTTAACCCATGTCTGAGCCCCATTTTTAGGTCAAAATGCATTTTGACCTAATATTTTGTTGATGAATATATGGTTAAAAAATGAGGAAAGATTTTTCAATTTGCATGTAAAATTATTATATAAGAGAATACGTAGTTAAAAATAAGTTTTGAAAAAATGATTTTAAAAAAAAATGGGGATTGAGCATAGGACAAATCGACATTACAATGTAGTTAAGTAAGCCATCAACACATATACTACATGTTTGCTAAGCTTAGGAAATTTACTTATAAATAAATAAGTAAATAAACTACAACCCCACTTTCAAAAGAAATATTGCCCCCATTTGACCCCCTTTTTTTGAAATTAAAATGGATGGAATAGTTTTTTTATTTTTAAAATTGAGTGGTTGAAAATGGTTAAAAAATAAGAAAAAATTTTAAATTTACGTGTAATATTATTTTATTGAAGAATGTATGGTTGAAATGATGTCAAAACACTGTTAAAAAATGAATTTTTGCAAAAGAATGAGGCCCAAACAAGGGCCATGTTGTATATTTTCTTCTCCTAATTAAAATGTAATACAGATTAATTTATAATTGTTTCAATTAACAAATAACTACTCAATTTAGGATTTCATCAACAAAAATGAAAAGAATTGATTTTATTTAAAAATATATACATAAATAATGATAGAATATACATAAATACGCAATTAAAAAATAATAATAATAATAACATGTCCATACCGTGTTCTTATCTTACATTTTTTTTTTTTTAACTCATATAAAAATATGCTTACATAATTAATATTCATAATTATGTAACAACTATCTACATTTATAATTTATCATCATACTCATTAGTATTATCGTTATGAGGGTATTTTGTGAGAATTAAAATTAGATTTTGATAGAAATTTTTGAAATGTGTAATTGAAAAGTTATGAGGCTCATGAAAAATATGATTAATATTGATTGTTTGACTTTGTTTCAGATTAAAATCTGAGCCAAATAGAGGCTATATTTTATTGTTATAAATTAAAATTTAATTATATAGGAGTTAATATGATATTATTTATTTTTTTGTGGTGTTGAAACTTCAAAGATATTTTTTATTCCAATATTTTTAATTCTACAAATGAATATTAAGATATTTATACACTTGAAAATTGTACTCTAATTCATATATTCTCGTATCTATAGAAATATTTTTTATTGTATTTTAATCGAGAAGGAGAACTTATTTTACTTCTTTATATGAATATTTCATGAATTTAAAAAAAAAAATTGTGAGCCGACCCGAGCCAAAAGCCTGAGTCAAGCCTCTAAATTTCGATCGGGGCTTTGGCTCAACAGGGCTAAAAAAGCTGGAGTTTTTTTATTGGGTTGCGCATGACACTAGCCGGCTCGACCTAGATTCATTGACACGTTTACGTTTGACACTCGTTAAATTGAAGAGTCAAACCTTAACAAGTTCAACAAAATAATCATTTTCCCACAAGCTGTAGCTTCTCTCTTTACGAAGTGAAGACTCCAAGTCAATAGGAAATACCACCAGTTCTTTCCGCGTCAAATCCCACTCCACGGTATCTTTCTGTACGTATATATGTATCTTATAGCAGAGAAGATAAGACAGAAAACGTTGCTTCCCGCGTAACCCATCTGCAATCTGAATTAAATGAATGCGTGCAAGCTATTTGTTCATAATCTAAAACCACGACCGCCACAATTTCTTGGGGTGCTTAACGGTTTCAATTGACTTTAAGCTTCTTCTTTCCTTATCAGCCTCAATCTTTGTCTTTGTCCCATTACATTTTGTCCTTTATAAATACACTATCATTTTTTCCTTTTATAAACTAGTAACTACTTCAAATGCTCTTTAAATTATCCAATAAAATCTCTCCTTTTCTGTCTTGGAATACTGTTTGTTTCTGATCTTTTTCAACCAAGAGTTTAGTACTCCAGTCATTTTCTATCAGGTATCGCTTTCTATCTCTGTCTGGATTTGATGTTTCTATTTTTAGTTCTCGTTGGGATTCGGTTATTTCTTGCTGATTAGCTAGATTTTGTTATTTGGGAACAGGAATGTGCACTTCTAAGATAACAAGATTGTTCAATAAATTGATCTTTCTTTGTATTTCATCTGTAATTTATGTAATCCAAACCTTAAATTAGAAATTTAAAGCTGGGTTTCTCAATTTTTTTCTGGGGAACTTAGATCATGACAAAATTGATTTGTGTTTGTATTAATTTCATCTGTAATTTATGTAATGCGATCTTATAAATTTAATGTAGGATTTCTCAATTTTGTTGAGGAACTTGATTACTACACTTTTAAGATCAGAAGATTGATGGAATAACTTGAGGGATTTTTGTATTTCATCTATAATTATGTAATGCAGCCTTACACAAAGAAAATTGAAGCTGGGTTTCTAAATTTTTGTTCAGAGCTTGATTGATTGATGCTTTATTCTTTTGTTTTATATGTAATTTATGCAATGCAAACTTTAACATAGAAAATTAATGTTGGGTTTCTAAATTTTGTTTGGTTTGTGTATATAAATCAGGTTTGGGACCATGGGAAGCCATATGAGCAAGAAGCCTCAGGAAACTACTAGTGCAATCAACGATCTGAAATCTTATGAAGCCACGTGCAGGGTCGACATAGATTTAAAATCCTTTGATAGAACTCTTGAAGCGCGAACTAACAAAGTTATCAATGCTCTTGCTGTTGGGGTTGAGGTTAAAGCCCTGTCGTTTGATTCCTTGAAGGAAGTCACAGAATGTCTGTTGGAGATGAATCAGGAGGTTGTTAAAGTTATCTTGCATTGCAAGAAAGACATATTGAAGAATCAAGAATTATTCGAGCTAGTCAAGGAGTACTTTGAGAATAGCCTCAAGACTCTAGACTTCTGTACTGCATTGGAGAAGTGCTTAAAGCGCGCTCGTGATAGTCAATTGCTTATTCTTGTGGCACTTCAACAATTTGAAGAAGAAGACAAGGTGGAAGGGAACAATAGGTACACTAAGACATTGGAGGAGCTGAAGAATTTCAAGAATGCTGGCGACCCTTTCACAGAAGAATTTTTGCAAATTTTTCAATCTGTTTACAGGCAGCAAATGCACATGTTGGAGAAGTTGCAAATGCAAGAGGGCAAGCTTCATAGGAAGCTGAAATCTATCCATGCTTGGAAAAAGGTGTCGACCATTATATTTGCAGCTACATTCGCTGCTGTTCTAATTTGCTCGGTAGTGGCTGCCACCGTGGCTGCACCACCTGTGACAGCTGCTCTTGCCGCTGCAAGTTCCATTCCATTAGGATCAATGGGAAAGTGGATTGATTCCCTTATGAAGAATTATGAAGATGCAGTCAAAGCACAAAAGAATATCCTTATCCTTATGAATGTGGGCACTTATATAACTATTAAGGATTTGGACAGCATTAGGATTCTAATTGATCGTTTGGAAATCGAGGTTGAATGGCTATTGAAAACTGTGGACTTTGCAATCAATGAAGAATCTGTAAAATTTGCAGTGGAAGAGATCAAGAAAAAATTAGACGTGCTTATGAAGAATACCGAGGATTTAGGTGTTCAAGCTGATGTTTCTAGCCAAGATATTCGGATGGCTCGGACTATTATTCTGCAAAGGATAATAAAACACCCCAACCATTGAAGATTTGATGACATCTAGTGGGTACTATACTGACCTTAAGCTGGAGACTTTTCTTTAGTGATGTTTATGATGAAAAACGTCAATAACTTGTAACTTTGATTTGGAACATAAATTATGCAACAGAATACATGTTATATGCGATTAAGAATAATTGGATTCTTTCATTTATTATTTTGCCTTTTCATAAATTTCTTGCAAATGCCATTTGCATTTTTGCTTAGAAATCTAGTATATGTAATACAGAGTACTTGCTAAAGCTATAGTCAAAACAGCAGAGCGAAGTTAGGGTCTAGAAATAGTACATTACACTACGACACGAAAATTTTGGTCAATCGTTTTCACTGTTAGAAGGGACCCATCATTCACAAAGACAAAATGGGTGATGGTCGAATATGAAAATTTGTGGCTGAAGCCATATATGCACAGACTAGAAACGCGTAGATTTTGAACTAAGATAGATGAGAAAAAGGTGAGAAATGTACATTTTCCAGTCAAAATCATAACATAAGCGTTGTTCGCTACACACTTCATGGTAGACAGGTCCCTTTCTATTCCTTCGAGAGGGAAATGACCTTTTGAATAGAAATCTGATAGCATCTATGACACGACCCGTTCCCAATTTACCTAATGAACTCGACACATGACGTGTGTCTATGGTAAATATCAGTTTAGTTCCAGACCCACCACCAAGACAACTTTAACCTACTTTGACTATGACATTTTTTTTTTTAAAAAATGTTGACAAAGTTTCCATTGCAACATTGACTAAAACCACCTAAACAATAATCAATTTTACCCATAATTTAAAATAGGTTACACAAGCTCCTCAAAACACAAATTATTCAAAATAAAATATGGTAAATCAACCTTTAATATTATTTACAAATAAAAGTCCCCAAATGTTTTAAAAATACTAAATATACAACGAGCCCATGATATGGATACATGAATTACAAAGAAATTTTTCAGACCAAAGGTGCATGTATTCCAAAAGAAACATGAACTATATAAACTAAGAAATTGAGTCATACAACTAATGATAATGTGTTGCTCAACAGGTTTCAACGCTGCTCAACTCAACTACCATCTGATAAGAAAATGAGTGACAAAATATATGATTTTGTAACTCACTGAGTGGATAATTCGTAATTCCGTATACATTTTCTATTTGTACATAATTATTATAAACCTTTACTTACTCTATTACAATTTTAAAGAAATTCTGAAATTTGGTAATAACTTTTAAAATTGAAACATGATTGAATCATAAAATCATTTGTTCTTTATTCTAAATAAACAACTATAAAGTATAACGAATACAAATAATATGATATCCATGAAAATCTATGAAACACTATCGTTACTCAATATTATAAGCTAAAATCTTTATTCTGTGAACTGAATAAACTGAATTATATAATTTGTAATCTAATAAACTGTAGTAATATTAAAAATTCACACTAAAAAGGTACACGGAATAACCTTACTCATGTATCAATTAATACCGATATACATGGCAAAACTATTAAATTTTGAAATTCTGAGAATCTGAAATTTATAATTCCAATCATAAACATGCATAGCTCCCCAAAGGCTATAATCTAGTCAGATACTATGAAAACACATTCGCACCGTGCAGAGTAGATAAAATCACCATAGCTAATCATACATTGGGAAACATATTCACACTAGTTCAGAGCGGGTAAAATAACCATATAGGGTTATATATTGTGGAAATATATTCACACAAGTGCAAACAAGTGTAAAATCACTTGGGTGCTTTCTGATAGTTTTAAAAGTAACTTTAGTTATACTAAAATATTTAATACTGATATAATGGGCCAATGAAAAGGTTTAACTTAGCTGAATTTAACTTTCAGAATAATCTCTTATATTAAAAATAACTTTATTCTAAAAATCATACTTTTTAAATCAATCATTTGAAATAAATAACTTTTACAGCTTATATGATTTACTATAAGAAATATAATAAACAATTATTTGATATAAAGTTGAAAACTAAAATAAGTGTTTATTTCTAAGAAGTAGATATTCACTTACTCAATACAAGTTATAGGGTAGGATGACAAATAAGCTTTTCAAATATCTTCTTCACCACCTGAAATACGATGTAAAATAATCAATTTAACCACTATTATACTAAGTAGCTATGAATATTAATAATCGAATACTAAAACTTGGCCCTTGTTTGAGCCCCATTGTAAAGAGAAAGTTTGGTAAAATTTATTATGGAATAGTACTTTTTGAAAGAATGTGTGATTAAAAAAGAAGAATTTTTTTTTGATTTACGTATAATATTATTTTATTGAAGAATGTGTGGTTGAAGAGAAGAGGAAGAAAAATGTATTAAAATTTTAAAGAGTGTCAAACAAGGGCTTAATTTCTTCAATCTCCTAAAATCACTTGAAGCAAATTCCACTTTCTAATCCCTTTATTAATAGCTAATTCATCAAAATAACCTTCACTCCAAGTATAAAAATAATTATCTCATCTCCAATCTAGTAAAATCTTGAAATCACACTTGCATCAATTTATTTTACATTTTATTCCTAGGGATATAAATTTGGCTTGCCGGCTTGGACGGCCTGTGGCTCAACTTGGGAAAGCCCGAGTCAGCTTAGCTCATGGCTTGGAGGCACCGAACCAAGTCTCGGGCTAGCCCCATTTCAGGGCATCGGCTCGAGCCGGCAAAAAAATAATAAAATATAAAAAATAAGTGCTTGCAAAAAAATTATATACATGTAAATTTAAAACTTGTAGCTACTTGTTAAGGCAACAGATTTGTTGGTTGCCTAAACCTGTAACTAGATACATAAAGCTGCTTGTTAAGGTAGCTTAACAGACAGCTATAAAGAAATGTAATTTTGATTAATTTAAAAGAAATGCGTAAGTTTTTAAATTTATTTGTTCAAGAAAAAATTGTACACTGAATATTTTATTTGTGTACAATTTTAACTCCGCTTATGTTGATTGTAGCTGGTCCCAAGCTCAAAAAAGGAGAAGAATTGTAATAAATTATTTAATTTATAATTCATAAAAATTGCACAATTTTTAAAATTTTTAAAAAATGTTAGAATTGTCATGAAGTAAAAGCTCTAGCCGAGCCTAGATTTTCAGATCTTGAGCCCAATAAAGCTAGCACCATCTTACTCGAGTTGAGCTCGAGTCTCGAGTTTTTGCTCGCGAGTCGACTTGTCTCGACTCGTTGACATGCCTACTTATTCCATAAAATCATTCTTTAAAGTGAATATTTCATCAATATTATCATTTCTCTAAACTATATTTACTCAAGAACCCAATTAAAAATTCTAGGGTTTGCCCAAAAATGATATCTTACCTTAATGTAAATGGAAAGTAACCAATCAGGGAACTTCAATTAACAATGGTGCTCATTTCTCTTAATCTGAAATTTACACCAACAAATGAAAACCCTAAAGATTAAGTATAAATTATACTATATCCCTTGAAGAAATTAAGCAAATTGAATAATGAAATTTGAATAGTCAAACTTACCTTTTTTTTTTCCTTTTTTTCCTCTTCTTTCTTTCTTCCTTTTTTTTCCCCCGGTTTTCTGCCTCTCTATACCGTTTCCTCATCTTTCCTTGTGCAAGGAAAATGAAAAAAAAAAAAAAAAGGTCAAAAAATGGCCAAGTTAGTCGAGCTTTTGCAAAGGAGGTCCCTTATCTTCCATTTGATATAAAAAAAAATTGATTTGTGTTTGTATTAATTTCATCTGTAATTTATGTAATGCGATCTTATAAATTTAATGTAGGATTTCTCAATTTTGTTGAGGAACTTGATTACTACACTTTTAAGATCAGAAGATTGATGGAATAACTTGAGGGATTTTTGTATTTCATCTATAATTATGTAATGCAGCCTTACACAAAGAAAATTGAAGCTGGGTTTCTAAATTTTTGTTCAGAGCTTGATTGATTGATGCTTTATTCTTTTGTTTTATATGTAATTTATGCAATGCAAACTTTAACATAGAAAATTAATGTTGGGTTTCTAAATTTTGTTTGGTTTGTGTATATAAATCAGGTTTGGGACCATGGGAAGCCATATGAGCAAGAAGCCTCAGGAAACTACTAGTGCAATCAACGATCTGAAATCTTATGAAGCCACGTGCAGGGTCGACATAGATTTAAAATCCTTTGATAGAACTCTTGAAGCGCGAACTAACAAAGTTATCAATGCTCTTGCTGTTGGGGTTGAGGTTAAAGCCCTGTCGTTTGATTCCTTGAAGGAAGTCACAGAATGTCTGTTGGAGATGAATCAGGAGGTTGTTAAAGTTATCTTGCATTGCAAGAAAGACATATTGAAGAATCAAGAATTATTCGAGCTAGTCAAGGAGTACTTTGAGAATAGCCTCAAGACTCTAGACTTCTGTACTGCATTGGAGAAGTGCTTAAAGCGCGCTCGTGATAGTCAATTGCTTATTCTTGTGGCACTTCAACAATTTGAAGAAGAAGACAAGGTGGAAGGGAACAATAGGTACACTAAGACATTGGAGGAGCTGAAGAATTTCAAGAATGCTGGCGACCCTTTCACAGAAGAATTTTTGCAAATTTTTCAATCTGTTTACAGGCAGCAAATGCACATGTTGGAGAAGTTGCAAATGCAAGAGGGCAAGCTTCATAGGAAGCTGAAATCTATCCATGCTTGGAAAAAGGTGTCGACCATTATATTTGCAGCTACATTCGCTGCTGTTCTAATTTGCTCGGTAGTGGCTGCCACCGTGGCTGCACCACCTGTGACAGCTGCTCTTGCCGCTGCAAGTTCCATTCCATTAGGATCAATGGGAAAGTGGATTGATTCCCTTATGAAGAATTATGAAGATGCAGTCAAAGCACAAAAGAATATCCTTATCCTTATGAATGTGGGCACTTATATAACTATTAAGGATTTGGACAGCATTAGGATTCTAATTGATCGTTTGGAAATCGAGGTTGAATGGCTATTGAAAACTGTGGACTTTGCAATCAATGAAGAATCTGTAAAATTTGCAGTGGAAGAGATCAAGAAAAAATTAGACGTGCTTATGAAGAATACCGAGGATTTAGGTGTTCAAGCTGATGTTTCTAGCCAAGATATTCGGATGGCTCGGACTATTATTCTGCAAAGGATAATAAAACACCCCAACCATTGAAGATTTGATGACATCTAGTGGGTACTATACTGACCTTAAGCTGGAGACTTTTCTTTAGTGATGTTTATGATGAAAAACGTCAATAACTTGTAACTTTGATTTGGAACATAAATTATGCAACAGAATACATGTTATATGCGATTAAGAATAATTGGATTCTTTCATTTATTATTTTGCCTTTTCATAAATTTCTTGCAAATGCCATTTGCATTTTTGCTTAGAAATCTAGTATATGTAATACAGAGTACTTGCTAAAGCTATAGTCAAAACAGCAGAGCGAAGTTAGGGTCTAGAAATAGTACATTACACTACGACACGAAAATTTTGGTCAATCGTTTTCACTGTTAGAAGGGACCCATCATTCACAAAGACAAAATGGGTGATGGTCGAATATGAAAATTTGTGGCTGAAGCCATATATGCACAGACTAGAAACACGTAGATTTTGAACTAAGATAGATGAGAAAAAGGTGAGAAATGTACATTTTCCAGTCAAAATCATAACATAAGCGTTGTTCGCTACACACTTCATGGTAGACAGGTCCCTTTCTATTCCTTCGAGAGGGAAATGACCTTTTGAATAGAAATCTGATAGCATCTATGACACGACCCGTTCCCAATTTACCTAATGAACTCGACACATGACGTGTGTCTATGGTAAATATCAGTTTAGTTCCAGACCCACCACCAAGACAACTTTAACCTACTTTGACTATGACATTTTTTTTTTAAAAATGTTGACAAAGTTTCCATTGCAACATTGACTAAAACCACCTAAACAATAATCAATTTTACCCATAATTTAAAATAGGTTACACAAGCTCCTCAAAACACAAATTATTCAAAATAAAATATGGTAAATCAACCTTTAATATTATTTACAAATAAAAGTCCCCAAATGTTTTAAAAATACTAAATATACAAGGAGCCCATGATATGGATACATGAATTACAAAGAAATTTTTCAGACCAAAGGTGCATGTATTCCAAAAGAAACATGAACTATATAAACTAAGAAATTGAGTCATACAACTAATGATAATGTGTTGCTCAACAGGTTTCAACGCTGCTCAACTCAACTACCATCTGATAAGAAAATGAGTGAAAAAATATATGAGTTTGTAACTCACTGAGTGGATAATTCGTAATTCCGTATACATTTTCTATTTGTACATAATTATTATAAACCTTTACTTACTCTATTACAATTTTAAAGAAATTCTGAAATTTGGTAATAACTTTTAAAATTGAAACATGATTGAATCATAAAATCATTTGTTCTTTATTCTAAATAAACAACTATAAAGTATAACGAATACAAATAATATGATATCCATGAAAATCTATGAAACACTATCGTTACTCAATATTATAAGCTAAAATCTTTATTCTGTGAACTGAATAAACTGAATTATATAATTTGTAATCTAATAAACTGTAGTAATATTAAAAATTCACACTAAAAAGGTACACGGAATAACCTTACTCATGTATCAATTAATACCGATATACATGGCAAAACTATTAAATTTTGAAATTCTGAGAATCTGAAATTTATAATTCCAATCATAAACATGCATAGCTCCCCAAAGGCTATAATCTAGTCAGATACTATGAAAACACATTCGCACCGTGCAGAGTAGATAAAATCACCATAGCTAATCATACATTGGGAAACATATTCACACTAGTTCAGAGCGGGTAAAATAACCATATAGGGTTATATATTGTGGAAATATATTCACACAAGTGCAAACAAGTGTAAAATCACTTGGGTGCTTTCTGATAGTTTTAAAAGTAACTTTAGTTATACTAAAATATTTAATACTGATATAATGGGCCAATGAAAAGGTTTAACTTAGCTGAATTTAACTTTCAGAATAATCTCTTATATTAAAAATAACTTTATTCTAAAAATCATACTTTTTAAATCAATCATTTGAAATAAATAACTTTTACAGCTTATATGATTTACTATAAGAAATATAATAAACAATTATTTGATATAAAGTTGAAAACTAAAATAAGTGTTTATTTCTAAGAAGTAGATATTCACTTACTCAATACAAGTTATAGGGTAGGATGACAAATAAGCTTTTCAAATATCTTCTTCACCACCTGAAATACGATGTAAAATAATCAATTTAACCACTATTATACTAAGTAGCTATGAATATTAATAATCGAATACTAAAACTTGGCCCTTGTTTGAGCCCCATTGTAAAGAGAAAGTTTGGTAAAATTTATTATGGAATAGTACTTTTTGAAAGAATGTGTGATTAAAAAAGAAGAATTTTTTTTTGATTTACGTATAATATTATTTTATTGAAGAATGTGTGGTTGAAGAGAAGAGGAAGAAAAATGTATTAAAATTTTAAAGAGTGTCAAACAAGGGCTTAATTTCTTCAATCTCCTAAAATCACTTGAAGCAAATTCCACTTTCTAATCCCTTTATTAATAGCTAATTCATCAAAATAACCTTCACTCCAAGTATAAAAATAATTATCTCATCTCCAATCTAGTAAAATCTTGAAATCACACTTGCATCAATTTATTTTACATTTTATTCCTAGGGATATAAATTTGGCTTGCCGGCTTGGACGGCCTGTGGCTCAACTTGGGAAAGCCCGAGTCAGCTTAGCTCATGGCTTGGAGGCACCGAACCAAGTCTCGGGCTAGCCCCATTTCAGGGCATCGGCTCGAGCCGGCAAAAAAATAATAAAATATAAAAAATAAGTGCTTGCAAAAAAATTATATACATGTAAATTTAAAACTTGTAGCTACTTGTTAAGGCAACAGATTTGTTGGTTGCCTAAACCTGTAACTAGATACATAAAGCTGCTTGTTAAGGTAGCTTAACAGACAGCTATAAAGAAATGTAATTTTGATTAATTTAAAAAAAATGCGTAAGTTTTTTAATTTATTTGTTCAAGAAAAAATTGTACACTGAATATTTTATTTGTGTACAATTTTAACTCCGCTTATGTTGATTGTAGCTGGTCCCAAGCTCAAAAAAGGAGAAGAATTGTAATAAATTATTTAATTTATAATTCATAAAAATTGCACAATTTTTAAAATTTTTAAAAAATGTTAGAATTGTCATGAAGTAAAAGCTCTAGCCGAGCCTAGATTTTCAGATCTTGAGCCCAATAAAGCTAGCACCATCTTACTCGAGTTGAGCTCGAGTCTCGAGTTTTTGCTCGCGAGTCGACTTGTCTCGACTCGTTGACATGCCTACTTATTCCATAAAATCATTCTTTAAAGTGAATATTTAATCAATATTATCATTTCTCTAAACTATATTTACTCAAGAACCCAATTAAAAATTCTAGGGTTTGCCCAAAAATAATATCTTACCTTAATGTAAATGGAAAGTAACCAATCAGGGAACTTCAATTAACAATGGTGCTCATTTCTCTTAATCTGAAATTTACACCAACAAATGAAAACCCTAAAGATTAAGTATAAATTATACTATATCCCTTGAAGAAATTAAGCAAATTGAATAATGAAATTTGAATAGTCAAACTTACCTTTTTTTTTACCTTTTTTTCCTCTTCTTTCTTTCTTCCTTTTTTTCCCCCCGGTTTTCTGCCTCTCTATACCGTTTCCTCATCTTTCCTTGTGCAAGGAAAATGAAAAAAAAAAAAGGTCAAAAAATGGCCAAGTTAGTCGAGCTTTTGCAAAGGAGGTCCCTTATCTTCCATTTGATATAAAAATCTAGTATTTTACTTTCCAATAATAGATAAGTATATCTCCAACTTTAAACTATGTCCATCTTAGACTCTCATATATTGTAAATTGTGAAATAAACCCCAATAAAATAATATGGTCAATTCAAATCCTTCTTAGACTTTGACTTTGACAAGTCAACTTTTGATTTTTGATTAAACGAAATGGGTTATAACAATATGATCTTTGAGGTTGAATGTATCCATCAACCGTGAATCTATTTGGTCTTTCAAAAAACACATAATATTCAAGTCGATGTTGTCTTTCCAAATTCTTTAACGTTTGCAAAGAAGAGGAAAAAACTGCACCTGAATTGTCCTTTATGTTGGAAAATTGAAGAGGAAAAGAAGGAGATGGAAACAAGAAATAAAGTATAAGGATCGAACACGTATATGATAAACTGTCATAAAAATGATATTTGCCTTCTCTAGTATGCTTTTAGGATTTCCAACGAATAACTCAAAGGATTGACAAGCCTTCAAGTAAAAAGTGCAAAAGTAAAATGATTCTTTCTAATGGAACTTGTTGAAAACTGGAATAAGGATTGAATATGTATATAGAATAGGGAAAATTCAATTGTAGAATGAATGGTGATTTCTAATGTAGTTTTTCTTATGTTTGGAATTCGAGGTCTATCACCTATTTGTGGATTTCTAACATTATACCATGAAAAAGCTCCAAACACTCGTGAAAAGTTGGGAACTTTCCACAAAAAGCACTAGAAGTTCAAATGAAAAACCAGCCCAACGGCTTGATTTTTGAACCATGCATCGCATGGTTATATTCTTGCATACTCATAGTAAAAGCAAAATTGCTTCTATTTCCTGTAGATAATGTCTTGTTTATACATTGACATTTAGCCTGTGCTTATGCAAGGTTAAGCAAAAATCACCCGACATTGCCTTTCAATTTCATCCAACATTATCTTCCCATATCATCTTTAATTCAATCACATTTCAATCCAAAAGGTACCCAAATTTTGAACAAAAACAATTATATAACAATTTCTCCACTTGTTCAAAATTTTCACATATTCATATTTGGTAACACTAATGTATAACGATTAGATATCTTTTGATTTAAATCCAACAATAGTATAAATCTCACATGATAATTTTAGGTAGCATGATAATTTTGAACCAGCTATTCCCTGTGATAATACTGGTGAAATCACACACATGAGTGTTATGTAACATATGTTTTCACAAGTTCCTAAAACTCGCTTAGTGCTATTATGATCTTACACTTATCTTATTCATTGAACTATTAAGAGATAAACTCTCACTCTCTATTAAGGTGGCACCACCTCAAAATTCACATAAGTGAAGTTCTTCCAGTATCTTTATTACTTTTAGAAGTACTTATACTTTATACTGAACTTCATTAAGAGTTTTATAAACTCGTCCCTCCAATCGTAACAACCAGCATTATTTATCAAGAATATGATTTTATAGTAGGTTAATAGTGTTGAAACTTATCCACTTATTGTTGAGTTATTATTACCTTTTGAACCTAAATATACTTGTTCATTATAATTGGGTAGGATTTTCATTATTGGTGAGCTTTTAATCAACGAGTTTCAACTCCATCATTCTCGATGTAGATCTTACTGTCTCTTTTGTAAGATGTTTAGTCAACTGATTAGCTAAATTTTTGCTACACTTAACATATGTGAGAGAAATTACTCCATACTTGATTAATTTTCTCAAATACTTGTGTTTTAGACTCATATGTTTAGACTTTTCATTTTACTTTACTATATGCTCGTGCTAAGGTGGTTTGACTATCACACAAAATGGGTATCAAAGAAATATCTTTTGCACCCAATGAAATTTCATAAAGAAGATGCCTTAGCCATTCAACCTCTTTTCTTGTTTAAGCCTATGCTAAAAACTCAATCTCCATTGTTGAGTGTGTAATGCATGTTTATTTCTTAGACTTCCAAGAAACTACACATTCTCCAAGAGTAAACATTCAACTCGAAGTAGACTTGTTTTTTCCCACACTTGATATCCAACTAGCATCAGTATGTCCTTCAAGAATTGTAGTCCAAAGTTTTTGATTTTCTTTAAGTAACCAAGAATCCTTCCTATGGCCTTCCAATGTTCCGAATTTGGATTACTTGTAAACCTATTTAATTTACTTACGGCAAATATAACATCTGGTCTTGTACATTGTACTGTATACATAAGACTTTCGATTTCACTTGCATACTCAATTTGATCTATTGCTCCTTCATTATTTTTTATTAACTTGATACTTGAATCCAACAGAGTATTTGCCTCTTTAGTCTTTGTTTGTCAACCATTCTACTATATTATTTTTCTACAATACTCATTTTCTACCACACATTCTTCTTTAAAATAATATTATACATAAATAAATAAAAAATCCTTCTTTTTACCCATATATTATAATATCAATCACTATTTCATAATACACTTTTTGAAATTAAAGAGGCACAAATAGGTCCTTAATGTTCAAGTATTTGAATTTATTTATCACTTTCTAAACGTAATGTGATTGGCTTAATGAATAACCCCTACTATCCTTCTTAACTTTAATATCAATGATAGTGTCCACTTGTCTAAGATCTTTCATTTTTGAACATGAAAGATTGAAACATCTTCGTTTCTTTAATTCCTTCCATGTCATTACTTATAATTAACATATCATCCACATAAAAACATGCAAATATAATAATATTATCACATACTTTGATATATAAACATTTATCAACGGAATTATGAGTAAAATCATACGACATAACAATAGTGTCAAATTTTTCATGTAATTTTTTAAGGGCTTGTTTTAAATCATATAAGGACTTGATTAGTTTGCATACTTTATTTTCATTTTCAGGTAGAACAATCCTTTTTGGTTGTTCTATATAAACCTCCTCTTCTAGATCTCCATTTAAAAATGCCTCTTGATATTCATTTGATAAAAACATGTGAATCATAAATAGATGTTAATGCAAATAAGATCCCTATCGAGTTCATCCTAACTACGGATGCATACGTGTTAAATTAATCTATTCATTCCTTTTTTTTATACTCTTTTGCTACTAGCCTAGCTTTATAGATATTGAGTGTTCCATCGAAATTATATTTTCTTTTAAAAGCCCATTTAAAATCCATGGTTTTAGAATCCTTTGGTAAATCAACAATTTCCCAAGTGTTACTGATATAATAGAATCCATTTCATTATTTATTGCATCTCTCCAGAATATGAAATCTCTAGAACACATTGCTTATAAGTTTTAAGATCACTTTCGACTTCAAGAACAAAAGGAATTGATCTTAGAACATCCTTCATATCTCCTTCTACTAAGTAGAATGAAATAAATTGGGAATCCATTTCATCTGATCCTAGCCCTTTTTCTTTTCTAATTCTTTTACTTTTTTGAGATTCACTTTCAACATCTCTTTTAGATGTCTCTTCTTGTAATTCTATAGAAGTTGGAATGTCTACATTAGTTTCATTTTGAGAATTTTTGTTGCCAACACATTCTCGAAAAGCTGCACATTCCTTAATTCAATTATAACAGTTGATTCTAATTTTAATAACTTATAGGCATTGCTATTTAAAACATATCCTACAAAGGCACATTTAATACTTTTAGAACCTAATTTAGTTCTTTTAGAATTTGTGTTCTTGCAAAAAGCAAGACAACCCTGCATTTTGAAATAATTGATATTTGGTTTCTTTCATTTCCATATTTCATATGGAGAAATCTTATTCATTTTCAAAGGAATCATACTTACTATATGACAAGCACTAAGTAAGGCTTCACCCCATAAATTATATGGTAATTCAAAATTTAGTAACATAGCATTTATCATTTCTAAGAAAGTGCTAATCTTCCTTTTAGCTAAACCGTTTTGTTCATGTGTGCGTGTTGCAGAAAATTGGTGTACAATGCCATTTTGTTCACAAAATATTTTGAATTTGATTAAAAATATTCTTCACCTCTATCATTTATAATAGTTTTTATTTTATTTCCTAATTGATTCTCAACTTCTACTTTATATACCTTAAATGTATTGAATGCTTTATCTTTATGTTTTAAAATACAAATATAAGTATATCTAGAACAATCATCAATGAATGTAATGAAATATCCATTACCTCCTTTTGTTAGTATGTCAGTCAATTTACATATATCGGAATGCACAAGTTCATGTAATTAAGATTTTCTTTCTACGTTATGAAATGTCTTTTAATCATTTTTTATTTAATATATGTTTAACATTTTTCTATGTTATCAACTTCATATTGTACTGACCAATATTTAATCATTCTTTTCATAATGTTAATTCCTACACGTGCTAATCTACCATGCCCTAAATTAAATGAATCAATAACATAAGTAAAAGATTTATTTTTATTAGAATCATTTTCAAAATTACAAAATTTGAACATTCCTTCAGTAGAATAGTCATTTCCAACAAAATACCTACTGTGAATCCGTACAAGTTTTCTCGACTCAAATACTGATTTGATTCCCAATTTTCCCAAGAAAACCCCACTTGCTAAGTTTCTATTCATTTTTGGTACATGAAGGATATTTGTCAAAATAATCTTCTATCCTGAAGTGAAGATGATTTCCACATTCCATTTGCCAATCACTTTAGATCTTCCTTTATTTCTCATTTGGATCTCTTAACCATCATCAATATCATGATAAGTTTTGAAAGGGGACTTATCATAACATACATGGATGATTGAGTAGTTATTATACCACCATAGCGATAATCTCATCAATGGAATTCATTTGTCCTTCATTCTTTGTTGCTTTTTATGCTTGCAATCTTTTGCGCAGTGTCCTGATTTTCTACAAACATAACAATGTCCTTTAGACTTGGTTTTAAACTTTTTTTGATTATTTTTAGGACCAAGAGGTCTCCTTTTCTTCTAGCACTTGTTGGAGTTATCCACATTTGTCTACATCATTAGTTTTTGAAGAGCCATCATAAGAACTCTAGATGTTATCTCTTGCCATTGATTATTCCTCTATGCGAAGATGTTTTTGACCATTTTCCAAAGAGAAAGTTTTCGAATTTTTGAAGAATCTTCTTCCTATATCATTTTCAAGTTCTCAAGAATTTAGTAATAATTGCTCCAACTTGAAAGGATTCTAGAAGTTTGATTTTTACCACTTTTAATTTGTTGATAATGAGTCGTAATTTATGTACTTGAGGAAACAAAGGAATATTATCTAACATTTTGAAATCAAATTATTTAGATATAAGAAATTTCTTGGTACCTTCCCCCTCAATTTTATATTTGTTTTCAAGTGTATCCCATATTTCGAAGCACGGTTAAGTAGAAAATCACCTAACACTGCCTTCCAATTTCATCCAACATTGTTTTTCACATTATCATTAATTCATTCACATTTCAACCTAAAAAGGTGCCCAAATTTTGAACAACAAACAATTGCTCTCCCCGTCCCACTTATAAGGCTGTTTTTTTCACATGGACTAAGACATCTTATTTAATGTTATTAAAAAAAGTAATTTTTGCCAAATTTTTTCTAATTTATCCTTATTTGTATTTGTACAATTTCAAGATTAAGTAGAGAAAATTAGTTATAATTAGACAAATTAAATAAGGATATATTAGTAAACAAACAAAATAAAATATTTTCAATAAAAAAAGTGACTATATAAGAAAATAAGGAAAATCAGCCTATATAGATGGGAAGGAAGGAATATATAACACTTTAAATTCTCCAAACAAGCATGGAAACCTTGTTGTTAGAAGCAACACATTCTTCATACCGGAGTGTCCATGCTCAGAAGCATACTTTTGAATACGTGTGCACTTTTGTTCCCTGAAAGAGTTAACAGGCTAAATTCTATGAACTGGCGTGCGATGCAGAAGTTTTAAACCTTTCCGTGTGACACGGGTGCGTGGTTCGATTTGTCCCCTTCTCTCATGAATTGTCGAACATTAGAATTATTGTCAGATTTTATCTCGTAAGTGAATGGATTATATACAACCACATGGACCCAAATCAACCGTTCGGGTTGACGATTTTTTGGTTCACCTCTAGCGTACTACACGAGCTAAAAAAACACACACTACCTCTATTTGTATTCTCGAAGGCACTTCTCTCTTTCACAAAAGACTCACATAAATTTTCTTTACATCAAATTAAACCACATGCTCCACTATTTGTGCATGTCTCAGATGTACTAGCACTGCATCTTTGATGCAGTCATCGATTCTCCTGAGAGTTCACAATTGCCGCAAGGAAACATTCGTCAATTTTTAATTTTTTTTTGAGTTTCTTTATAGTAAATGTACTTGCAACTAAAATAATTTACATAATAAATAAGTTCTTCATAAGAAAATTATTAAACAAATAATTATTTTATTGATTAAAATAGAGAAATTAAAATGAAAAATATAAGTTTTTCCTTGTAATTAAAAAATATGATAAAACAACTTGTTTAAAGATATTTGGGGAACGGGAGACTCGTATCCACTTACCATCCGTCTGGATAAACTAACTGAAGCGTTCGTTACTATACAAATCTTGCTCCGTGGCACAGAATTTTATCAATCGAAAATCCAGAGTGAATCGGAGTTTTCCATCAAAATGAAGATTCTAAATATTTCGCATAGGCATTCATTAATTCTATCTAAATTCCAGAATCATATTATCAAGAATGTCTTCAAATTCAGAACCCGTAATTCCTGTCCCTACCATTTTCTTATCCACGCTTCACGCAGTCGAAAAAATGGCAGCACAATGACAGTCTCTTGTAAGCTCAAAACCTCTAAGAACGATATTAATAGGAAGAGCATGGACAAGAGTTTACAAACCAAGATTGTGGTGCCTGAGCTGGATGGAGCACCGTCACTTTCTGAGGCGGCGGAGGAGGGAGGAAGTGGTGCTCCAGCAAAACAACCGCCGCTGTCTAGTAAGAAAAACGGTTTTGGGTTGTTGAAGGGGTTTCCTAGAAGGGTTTTGGCAGTTCTTTCAAATTTGCCTCTGGCTATTGCTGAGATGTTTGTTGTTGCTGCCTTAATGGCCTTAGGTAGGGACATTCCAATCTTCTGTTTGAATTATGAATAGATTTTTTCAAATCACTGCTCAATTTCTTGCTTCTGTTTTATTTGTTTCTTCTGATGGGATGATTAATTTTGCTGTTTTCTTCATAAAAATTGATTAAGAGAGAGAAAAAAGGGAAGGATTATGTCATTGGCAGTCTGTGTATAACTTTATTTCACAAGCATTTGACTATTTATATCGTTTTAGCTTTGCATTAGTTTATGTTGTAAAGGTGAATAAAGTACAAGAAAGATTATATGAAACAAGTTTGTGCGTGTGCTTAAAAGCACCTTTCCGAGTAGTGCAACAGTGTATGAACTTGTAGAGATTGTCTCGTGCAGCCCACATTTGTAGTTGATATGTGAAAAAGAAAAAGAAAAAAAAAAAAAAACTAAAAGGAAAAGGTTGTTAATTTGGACCGAAATTGTCTCTGAACTTTATTTGCTGGCATACAGAAGAGGGACTAATGACCTGTTTTGTACTGCTAGACAGGCGTCTTCTAACTTGAGATGAAAATCATTATCAATTAAAATGACTAATAACGTTGATATCGGTGAGGAAATTCTAGCGTTAATTCAACTTTTTATGATGGATTGAATAACCTAAAACAGTTTACACCAGCTTTTATTGTTATCCTCTAATGAAATAAGAAGCAAAAAACTAGGCATCCTTGCACGGTTTAATGCATAATTAGATTAAACCAGCTAGTAATGTTGTCATGTAATGAATAAGAAAAGGAAAATTTAGGCATTCTTTATATGGTTTAGCGCATTTGGCTTCATTATTGAACAGATAAATGATTGGTGACATCTGTATTTGGTGCAACTGTTCCCTTGATGCTGATAATTAGCCATGTGGTATAAAAGGAGTTACCATGTCTTGTTACTTCAGTCTGCTTAAGCAATAATGCAAGTTCTTTTTCACATGTTTTTGTTTGATGTAATGGCATTGTTTCTTTCTGAATCTTTGCAGGCACTATAATCGATCAAGGTGAGGTGCCAGAACACTATTTTCAGAAATACCCCGAAGATAATCCTGTCCTCGGATTCTTCACATGGAGGTGGGTTCTCACACTCGGCTTTGACCGCATGTACTCATCTCCAGTATTCCTGGGAACATTGGCTCTCTTGGGAGCATCACTCATGGCGTGCACATACACAACACAGATCCCTGTTTTGAAGGTAGCAAAAAGGTCCGGTTTTGTGTCTAATAAACAATGTTTGTTTGACTCTTTAATGTTCTTAAAGACACTTTAGTTGATAGTATGTGTCCCTGTTTGCAGATGGTCTTTCTTACATTCTGCAGAGGCAATTCGTCGGCAGGAATATTCAGACACCTTGCCCAGAGCTTCAGTTCAGGACTTGGGCATCCTTTTAATGGGGGCTGGATATGAAGTATAATGTTTTATCCTTGTCCTTTTATTTCTTTTATTGCTCTTTCCTTTATGTATAAACTTGGCTGCACACTGGATCAAGTTACAGTAACCATTCATTTGGAATCTGTTTCTATATTTCGAGGCATTGTTTGTCACAAATCTCCTTTCACTTTCTCAAGTGTTGCAAAACCATGACTATTGGATATTTCCCCATTGTGTATAATTAGGTATTCTTGAAAGGGCCATCATTGTACGCCTTCAGGGGTTTGGCTGGTAGGTTTGCCCCTATTGGAGTACATTTAGCATTGTTGCTAGTAATGGCAGGTGGAACTCTTAGTGCTACTGGGAGCTATAAAGGATCTGTAACAGTGCCCCAGGGTTTGAACTTTGTTATCGGAGATGTGCTGGGGCCCAGTGGGTTTCTATCAACTCCTTCAGAATCTTTCAATACCCAAGTTCATGTCAATAGGTTCTACATGGACTATTATGACAGTGGAGAGGTAGGCATCCACGGTTGCAATATGACTTCTCAACATTGTTCATTTCTGAATATTTCGTTCAAATGTTTTATTTTGTTGTGTCATAGGTTGCTCAGTTTCATAGCGATCTGTCTCTGTTTGACCTTAATGGGAAGGAGGTAATGAGGAAGACAATAAGCGTCAATGATCCTTTGAGGTACGGAGGGATCACTATATACCAGACTGATTGGAGTTTATCGGCATTACAAATAACAAAGGATGATGAAGGACCTTTTAATTTGGCTATGGCACCTCTAAAAATCAATGGGGACAAAAAGCTTTATGGAACTTTTCTGCCTGTCGGAGATGCTGATTCTCCTGATGTTAAGGGCATGTATGTGTCCTTTTTACTGTCTTGTTTTTAGAAGTATAAACTAAATGTTGTCTGCAGTAAAGAAACAAGAAGTTCCACTTGAATGTTTGTCCATCAAATATTCTGAGATTCGTCAGATGCCAATACTTCTACTCCCTCCATCCCATAAATATAGTTCTTTTTTTTTTCACACACATTAAGAAAATTTAGTTAATATAGTTGAAATAATAAATTTTACTATCATTTTTCCTATTATATCCCTACAGTAATGCAATTAATATTCAAGGTAATTAAATTATGCATGCAATATTGAAGGTAATTAAACTATGTATTTGTGATAATAAGGAACATTGAATAGAGGTATATAAGAAAATTAGTATATTAACTACACTCTCAAATAAGAAATAGGACCATAATTTTGAACAAACGAAAAATGAAAAAAGGATCTTTATGAGACAAATGGAGTAATAGTTTTCCATTCTGCTGTGTGATTTTAACACCTTCAACTTTTCCTTCTTTTTCTGATTGAGAATTCAGATCGATGCTAGCTCGTGACTTGCAATCAATTGTCCTATATGATCAAGAAGGAAAATTTGCAGGAGTCCGGCGGCCAAATTCTAAGCTTCCGATTGACATTGATGGTTTTAAAATTGTTGTTGTAGATGCAATTGGTAGTACTGGCCTTGATTTAAAGGTGATGACAAAAGGATTTTGTTTGTGCCTTAGCTTTACTATGATGCATTCTTTCCTCTTTTTTCCTGACGATAAATTTTGTACCATCTCAGACTGATCCTGGTGTGCCAATTGTTTATGCTGGTTTTGGTGCTCTAATGCTCACCACATGTATCAGTTTTTTATCACATAGCCAGGTAAAAATTTCCCTTACATTTATCTAGGGTCTGGTTTTCAATGTTTTAACTATTACAACTTTCACCCTAGAAGCCTTGATAATCGTTTACTCTTACAAATTTTTATGCATTTCAAGATTTGGGCATTACAAGATGGAACGACAGTGGTGATTGGAGGCAAAACAAACCGAGCCAAGGGTGAATTTCCAGAAGAGATTAATCGGTTGCTTGATCAGGTCCCTGAAATAGTGGAGTCAACTTCTTCTACACAATCTAACAATCTCAGTGGCTAGTTCCGAGGAGCTACATTTTTAGAAATTGAAAGAAACTTCCGTTTTACATTATTAGCTGGAGAAGAGACATTGGATGATCAAGGTAAGAGTATGAATGATATGTGCTTGGCTTTTCGGCTTGCTCTTGCAAGGAGATTGCTTAACATCCAGATTTGAGTTGTTTGACATTGCTGCAGAATACTGGGACATATATACATATTTGTTCATACACCAAACTTGATAAGGTAAAAAAAAAAATTTGAAGAAAAATATTGTTCGTCTCAGATGTATTATTCTTGGTGTAACTCGAGCAAATGCAGCAAGTATCTTTTTGAGTCAAAGATGTATTCGTTGTTTTTCAGGATCTTCTGAAAAAAATATGATGCTAATTCACACATTTCGTGTTTCTAAATGCATCTGATACTGTGCATAGCTTTTTTGACTGTAGTTCTGTAACTTCTGATTTTCTTGAGAAAAACTGTATAAAAAATGAAAATGTAACATCCAACATCACTGTTTGTGGTGCAGACTTCAGCAAAATCTCAATGCATATTTGATTGAAACAATGTTCAATTGTTAGGATGAAAATGAATAGCTTGATTTTACGTCTAAATATATTCATACTAGAGATTTATTCTGCTAAAAGGGAGGATTTTGAGGGATAATATTGTATTTGAGATGGATACTAGCCAGAGAAGAATACATGGAGATGGTCATCAGTTTTCTAGTTCTGTTTCAGTCTTCTTGACTTTGTATTGAATGAAATGGAAGAAAACACTATATAGGCATGGGCGATATCATTTAGTTGGCAATTTCATTAACATCATTGTTCGTCACGGTGGAATTTAACTGTCACATTGTTCTTTTACCTTGACATTATTAATAAATGATTAAATATATAAGCTCTTCAAACCTAGTGACAGTTGCATTTAAATTATTTTCAAACTTCACTAGTCATCATTACATTAATCACAATTGCCAAGTTATATACTTGTATATAAATAATTCAAAAATTTATATTTCTAGGCAACAATTATCACCCGAAATCTTCGATTCTCGAGACATCATTCTTTGATTGACAAGTCCGAAACAATGAGTACATAAACTTATGAATAGAATATTAGATAATATTTATATATGATGACTTCATTAGCACATTCTTCAGTAATTTAGGCCAAATATTTATATTTTGACGACCTTGCCGTATCATTTAGGAAGAGGAGTACGCTTGGTATGTGACGCACACACTGTATTTCTTTTTTAATAAAAAAGTTGTTTGAAATTTAATTAAATGTAATATCTAAAATTAGTTAAATTGAGAGATCAAATTCTACTTTATGTGGTAAGAATGAAATTTTATAGGCACTTATTTGGTCTCCATTATTTTTAAATATATTTTGTTCTTATTTTTAATCACACATTCTTCAATAAAATATTATTAGACGAAAATTTCAAAAATTATCCTTATTTTTTAATCATACTTTCTTCATTAAAATACATTTTGGAGCAAAAAATGGGACTCAAAAAATGGCTCGAGATTATCGATCTATGTTCGTAGGGTAAAATTTTTTGAGGATACTATTTTTATTTGAAAATGTGTAAAATGTAAGGAATATTTTTACCAAACAAAAATCAATTCATGAATAATCCCATCTAAAGGAAAAGCAAGAGAAAAATAGTGCACATACAAAAATAAATAAATCGTGGCTCGCGAGCGCCGCGAGGGATATATCAAATTACGTACCTGACACACGATACCATATTCCGCCAAACACAATTCTAACATTACGTCAGTCATCACACATTGACATGGCCATCTCTCTACAATTTTCTCGTCTCTCCACCGGACCGGACTTCTTGTTGCCGGAGGCACGACTTTTCTGGTGGCGGAAACCTTGCTCCATTCGATGTTCCGCAGCAGGAGACGCTGCCTCCTCCTCGTCGGCTACTCTGGAGTCGGAGTTTGACGCCAAGGTGTTTCGGCACAACCTGACTAGGAGCAAGAATTACAATCGCAAAGGGTTTGGACACAAAGAGGAGACCCTTGAGCTCATGAACCGCGAGTACACAAGTATGTTTTCTGAAAATTTTTGCGATTCGTGTACTTTTTTAATCTGTTTTTGCTGGCTGGTGGAAAAGAGGATCGATTGAATTTCGTTTATGGTTGATTTATTTATCTCTGTTTGCTATGTACAAATGGAAATTTCCCTTCCAGAAGCAAATTTGTCGAAATTTTGTTTTTTTCCTTGAAGTTTTCTTGTTTAGGATGTTATTATCGAAACAGGGCGTTTACTTCTTCACTTTGTCTCAACATAATATGTAGGTATACGTAGTGAGATATTCATTTGATTAATAGGTTATCTTAATCTTTACATTGTATGCATATTAGTTCAAGATTAACGGGCTCTTCATATCTCTGTTTCGTCACACAATTACCAGTTTCTCACAGCTTGGCTTGTGTGATCTTGTGTTAAACTCTGTCAGTATCCTTTTTTTTTTTTTTTTTTTGAATATGATGGTAGTAAGGAAAATTGCAGGTGACATTATAAAGAAATTGAAGGAGAATGGGTACGAGTACACCTGGGGAAATGTTACAGTAAAGCTTGCGGAAGCATATGGCTTTTGTTGGGGTGTTGAGCGGGCGGTCCAGATTGCATATGAAGCAAGAAAACAATTCCCAACTGAGAAAATTTGGATCACCAATGAAATTATTCACAACCCCACTGTTAATCAGGTATCAGTTTCTGCAGTCATATTATTTATCTTTCATTCAAATTTCAACAATATTGGAAAGTATATTATCGTCACAGAGTTCAAAACGTTCATTCACTTGTTCCTTTTATCAGTCGATTGGTTAGTAGGGTGTTCAGCTACTTTTGTTTGGTGCGTTTAGATTTGATCTAGATATATTCTTCTATTGTTACTGGCTTCAGGGTTTTATATTTACCTACAGAAGCTTCATTTCTGAGTTGTCGTTTAAGTTTATACACTCAGCTCTTAGTTGCTGTTAATTTTGTGTTCTGGGTCTGCGGCATATTGTAAGCAATTTCTATGCTTAAATTCACTATTTGGATCTGGCAAGTTGAGCAATCAGTAGGATTGTGCCTGAGATCACAGATACGTGTATAATATTAATATGACGGTGATATGTACATGTTTTATTGCTTCTTTTAGCCAGATTGTGTACATCTATTTCATATAATAACCTGCAACGAGCGGTATATATACATGTTTTATTGCTCCTTTTAGTCAAATTGTATACATTTATTTCATATAATAACACGTGAGTAAGGATCTGTAATGTGGTGATAAAGGATATTGTTTTCTGAAACATTTTTGGGAGTGTGGCTCTTATGTAATGCATATATATCTACTGTTTACAGCTTTTACCTGGTAATATTAATCTTCAATTTTGCATTAGAAAATAAGAGACATGCATGTTTAAAGTGCTACTACATACTCATTTGGAGGAAGAAACAAACTCAACTAATTATACTGATTAAATAATTCGACTTTCTATTTACAGAGGCTTGATGAGATGGAAGTTAAAAATCTTCCTGTCAAGGATGGGAAGAAATTTTTTGACGTTGTTAATAAGGGAGATGTTGTGGTATTGCCTGCTTTTGGAGCTGCTGTGGATGAGATGTTGGTTTTAAATGACAAGAATGTGCAAATAGTTGATACAACTTGCCCATGGGTATCTAAGGTAGTTTCCCCTTCGACACGTTCTAAAACCAATTATGGGAATCAAGTAATTATATCCAACCTTTACATCCCTTTCTGACCATCTACATTTTATTTTCTTATAATTTGGTTATGCAGGTTTGGACTACCGTTGAAAAGCACAAGAAGGGAGAGTACGCTTCAATTATTCATGGCAAATATTCTCATGAAGAAACCGTAGCTACTGCTTCTTTTGCAGGAAAATATATAATTGTAAAGAACATGGCAGAGGTACGTCTGACATGCTGCTTCGTGTTTTTCTTTTTCTTTTTTTTCTTTTTTTTTTTTTAATATTAAACTTCCATGCTTAGTTATGAGCATCCATTGTTGGGAATGGTTGAAAAGGCGTTACCATGTTTAATACTTGAATTTA